ATAAAAGAACAAACTTTTATACCGGTTTTTAATATACTTCATAACGAGAGTATTAACTTTTCCTAGAAATATCTTCAGAATAAATAAATATATTTTTAACAAATAGAAATAAATCCATAAAATGAAGTTTTGCTTTTGAATATTTATACATTTAAACTCTATTGAAGATGTCGATAGAGTTTTAATTGTATCAAAACTTGTATTTGTTTTAAAAATTATTCGAGTAAAATATTTTTAAAGTAAAACTTTCTTTTCTTTTAAAGTAAAACTTTCTTTCTAATTTTAAAGTAAAAATTTCGTTATTTGTTTTGTATGCAGACTACAAGCTTATATAATCCTTCAATATATAATAACTCTGCAGGGACTATCGTTTTTATTTTTATAAATTTATTTTGTAAATAAAATAGTATGTAACATTACAAAGTATTTACAAAAAATACGTTTTAATTTTTGCAAAGAAAATATAGGAAATTTAGTTATCGATTATTATATTAGTTCTTTGTGAAGCATGTTACAGGTTTGCGTTTGATTATCTGGTAAATAAATTATTATGTCATTTATGGATCGCGCCCGTGAAAAAGCAACGTATAATTGCCCATGCCTAAAGACTGGTTTCGGATGATATAATTCAACTTTCTTGACCGTTTGCCGCTGACTTATGTTGATCGTCATTGCGAATGATAGTCGAACTGGAAACTGATGTCGGCGCAGACAAAACGGTAGTCTGGTCGGTCGGGCATATCGTAATCCGTAAATCTGGTCGTAATTCTGCAGCCGATTAGATGTTTCTCAAGCCGTTCGAAGGTAAGTCTCGTTCAATTGCATAGTCCGTTTTTGATGTCGAGATTTCTCAATAACATTATGATTGCGCCGACCTTTTATTTTAATTCATGCGGCTGATTTTCGGGCGGAGTGATGCTCCAGCGAAAAATGCGTTCTGTCAACGTTTTCCTTACATTCACAATTTATTTCTAGGATGCTTTTGGAGCTACAGGAGGTACTTGTAGAAACTATCCACCAAGAATAGAAATTTTGCTCTCAAATGATATTTCAGTTATCATAATGTCGCGTAACAATCTATTTTCTCTAGCCCAAGTCGAGGCACCGTTGACACATCGTCCCAGATAATTGTATTGGTTTGCCGGAGAAAAATAGCTCGTTTATTTTGGCTTATGAGCAGTGGTGTGTAATTAGCTGCCGTTAGAGACATTGGTAAGTTGAATGCAGAATGCACTGGCTGTCCAGAACAAAATGAAACTTCTGGTTTTTTAAGCATTTTTCAAAAATGATGGAATGTTTCAAATTTAAAACAACAATTTAGTCCTAATAAACTTGGTAATGAAATTATTTTTGATGATGCTAAAACCACATTTTTTAGACTACTAGCTGATTGGATTGAAATTTAACAGAAATCTCAATTTTTTACTTTATCGAAACAAACATCATCTGATCTTACCACAACTCTGCGTTCTCAAGATGAGCTTATTGAAGAAGAATGTTTGTATATGCTTACTTCACAACTTCAAAGCGTAAATTTTCTCAATATCGACATATAAGTGGTTAAGTGGACAAATAAGATTTCTAGTAAGTTTACTAGAATTTCAACCTTTTAAAGTTATTTTAACATGTTAGACTTTAATGGAGGAGAATGCAAATTTTTGGGATGACGATTTAAAGAGTAACTATGATAATCCAATTAATGATGAATTACTAATAACATTAGATTCAAACTCAAATGAGATATCAAAATTAACACTTTCACCTGAAACAGAAGTAGTTGCAACATCAGTTGCTGGTTATATATCAAAGAAATTGATAAAAAGAAGCAAATGTAACGATTGCAAGCCTATGCTTGCTACAAATACAACCAATATAAATACTATATCTACAAATACTATCACGAGGTGGTTTTACTGTGCCTTCACTTTCGCTTAAGGATTTTACATGTAATGTTTTGCAGTCTTAGGTTATCTTTCGAATTAAATAACTAAACAAAGTGCTAATGTCAGAGATGTATTATGCTTTGTTTTATCAAAAAAATCTCCAACAGTTTGCGTTATTTGCGATTTACACAAAAATTAGGAGTTTAAATTTGCTTTTAAAATTATAATTGTATTTTTTTTAAAAATAAGCAGAAGGTTATCAAAGCCACTGTTTGAAAAGTTTTTAAGTTTTTAAGTTTTATCTGATGACAATATTTCTGAACTTTCAACCAACATGAAAAAGCAAAATAACAAACAATTAATTTTGATTAAGACCTTTAACCAAGAGAAATAAACTGCAAGAGCTTGACTATTTTATTGAGATGATTTTTTTGTTGTTTTTAATTCACCTACAAAATATAGAAATTCATCTTTGGTAAAATCTGTATTTTGTAAACAAAACTCAGTTGTTACGTTATTTATATCACTACATTTTGCGAATATAGATGCTGTTTTTGAATCTTTAGACCAAAATCTTTTAAATAAATCTTATTTCATTGTTTTATTAATGTTTACAGAGTTTTTTTACAATTGATATATTATCTAAATATTTATCTCTTAGTCACTTACTATCTGTCAAATGAAACAGACAACACCGACTCACAATTGGTATAAATATGCTTGTTTTAATAAAAACATCGATTATCCCTTTATTTGTTATTTTGCTAAATGGTCGAATCAGACTCACATTTACAAATAAAACTGATATGATGTGAATTTTCAATTCTATTGATTTCTAAATTGATTGTATTTTCTTTAATAGATTGATCACAATAATTACTGTCACCGTCGTCATCAACATAATCGTACTTTTCAGAATCATTATCAGTACTCCTAGAATTAAAATTTTTCTAATTTTCAAGAACAGTATTATGATTTGATTCATCATTAGAACTACCTTTAAAAACTGCATTGTTATAAGTAATATTTTAATTTTTATGATTCGTATTAAGCAAATGAACGGCTTTATTCAAAGGTTTTTAAATTCTTGAATAAGATTTAATCGATCCCCTTTAAAATGATAAAAAACTTTATGTATCATATTTTCATTTTTAATTTCAACAACATTTTTTGAACCTAAACTATCACCTCTCGTTTGACAAACACAACAATATCTATTTCTTATATTATTTGATATCATTTTGTAATTCATTATGTCATTTTTTTTAATTTTAGTAATATAAAAAAGAAACAATATTTAATTATGTAACAGAGCTTTAGTTTTTCTTTATTAATTTGTTAATTGATTATTTTTACTATAATAATACGTCAAATTATTCGCCATACTTTTTTTTATTAACATATTCGCTATACTTTTTTTTATTAACATATTCGCCATACTTTTTTCAAATTTTTTTGAAAAAAACAACAACAATGGAGGATTTTAAAACTATTTTTAAGTTGTAAAGTGTAGTTTTACATTGTTTTTAATCATCCATAAGCGTAGGGTAGATTAGGGTAAAATAAGCACCTTAAGCGAAAATTGGAATATTTTCAAAAATAGTTATGCTGGATCCAAAATTTTTGCGAATAAACAATTTTTAGAGATCCTTACTCATGATCCAATTAGATAATGGGGCACCCGAAATTTTCACTTAAAAACACAGAGGTTTTAAAAAAGTAGCAAAATTAGCTCAAAAAAATAGCATTAAGTAAAAATATACCAACCTGACAATTAGAAATAATTTTTGTAACATAATGATTTGTTATTATCAAAACTTATCATTAAAAAATTAAAGTTTAAGCTACTTTTTGTTGAAACAATACTACCTATGTTTTCTGCAACAAAAAAAAAAAAAAAAAAAAAAAAAAATTAGTTCGTTGCTTTTTCAATTTTATTAACTTTCGAACGATAAAAATTCAAATTCTTTGAATTTAAATTACAGAAAAATATTTAGTATTGTTAAAATATTAAAGTTTTTTACTTTGTTTTTATTTTTATTCAAAAAGCAATTAAAACCACTGCTATTTTAGGACTTGAAACTTAGTAATTAAAAACTAGGTAATGAAAAACACTGAGTAATTTGAGCATGCTCATATTACACAAAAATGGCATCATTAAATAAAGTCAAAAAAAAATGTTTCTATGCATTGTTTTTCAAACCAAAAATGAATTGGATTTTTAGCTAACATATTTTTCTTTATAAAAAAATTAGTTTCATTATTTTAGCACCACCACAGATTTAATTATGCGTGATGATATTATTTTAACAACGAAGAAAATTTAACCGCACTTTAATTATAATTAATGATAGCCGTTAATTACTGGATATTAACTTACGGAAATTGTACTGATTACAGTTATTACAACATAAAGTTGATTCAAAAATTACATGCAAATTTAACTTTACTAACTTCCAAGTTATATTCATCGAAAAATTTTAAGTTTCATAGTATTATCTCTCAGTGTTCAAAAGTTATGACAATATAAAATTTGCAACCCCCTCAAATTGAGGGAGGTTTAAACTTTATATGGTCATGATTTTTGAACGCTAAAATTTTTTACTATGAAATTTAAAATTTATCGATGAATATAAGTCTAGTTGAAAATAGTACAAATTATATTTAATCTGCTTATTGCTCTCACGTTTGGGGCAAGAAGAGGACAAAATTTTGGGGCTTTTTTGTTCCCAAATTCCAATCATCGCAATTTTTTGCAAAGTATCCTTATTTGACCTAAGTATAAACATATAAATGTTTGGAGTTTACTCAGTAAGGTCAGCTATCTTAAAGACCAAAAAATGCTATTGGCAAGCTCATATTACCCTAATCTACTCTAAATATGTGTTTTAGTAAAAAAGTAAAAAAATAGGCCAAAAATGTATTCTTTAAATTTTTAAAGATTTATTTACCAAAAAAATTTGCATTTGCTAGTGAGAACAGAAAATATAGATTTAATTATATGCAATATCAAAACTGTGAAACAAAAGAAAATGATGATTACAAAAAACTGTTTTCGTAATAATAATAAAAATGACCTAAACAATAATGTAAATAAACTTAGTTATAACTATAACATATTTTGATTTGGATCTAATTAAATAAACTATTTTTATTACAATAATAAATTAACATAAAATTTTATTATTTTAAAAAAGGTGATCTTGAGTTCGCTTTAAATAGGAAGCAAATCCTATTCTAATCTTGAAACATCTTTACGACCATTTTTCTGTTACCTTCATAACCAATTCGAGAATGCTGTACCAATATGTTATCTAATAATAGAACATCTCCTTTCTGAAGTTTTAGGTTTTTTGCGCAACTCCAAGTTTTTGCTCTGACTTCGTCAATGAAGTCATCTTCTATTTCTTCACCATCGCCGTATGTACAATGAAAGTGGTAGGATTGTGGAGGTAAACCCAATCTTCCTTCATACTAAAAAAAAATTTTACTTTAAAAATATATTTTCCAAATACTTACGCTTTATTTTATCTCCTATTTTTTGCGCTTTATCTGTCTCCTAAATTTCCTAAACTAGGTATGGTTATTAGTCACAATTAGTGAGCAATTTTTTGAATTATCCAAAAAATTAATTAAAAAACGTTATGGAAATTTGCTCGTGTAATTAAAAATTGATTTTAATTTTAAAAATGTCATCAAAACGTTGAGTACAAAAGTTTAAAACGGTCGTAATCAAATAATCAATTATCGGTCGAACTTATCTGTATACCTGTATCGTTCAGCCAACCGCAATTTTTGTTAGCTCAGCTTTAAGGGTAAACTCATCTTTGATATTAGGCTGAGCTTACTATCAATAATTCGAGACAAACTTAATAACATAGTGAAAGGAAGGTTTGCGTATGATGAGCAGGTTTTTAAGTTGGTATAACCTCTTTTACAGGTATACTAATGATTTTTTTGCGAATTTTTTTGGTTGAGAATATTCATACAAGTTCGACGGTGTTATTCATTTTAATTTCTTGGTTGTATAGTTAATATTCTTTGATTGTTTTACTGTTAAAAAAAATTACTATTGTTGTTTTTTTTTTTTCACGGTTGAGATAATTACTTTTTACTTAAGTTTAGCCCTTGATAATACAATTTTTTTTTTTCTGTGATTATTTTTTTGTTATTTTGAGTTTTTTTGAATTCCATTAAAAAAAGCTCATCTTAGAAAACTGGTTTGCTAAGATGAGATAATTGGGTGTGTTGAAAATAACGCAATTTTTGGTATGAAGATTTTTTTTAATGAAGTATTCATTTATATTCTTTAAAAGGAAAGATTAATTTATGATAATCTGCAAAAATAAATATAAATATTACAATATTTCAGCTACTATTATTTAAGTTATTTAGATTATGACACTAATAACTGACTTACTTTGTGTGTCTAGGTTTATTTTAAATTACAGCTGAAACATGCCGCGGCATAGACTGAATAAATTTACTCCATGGGCTTCTAATTCGTTCATCATAAAACAAAAACTGAATTAATTTCTATTTAAGCTATGTGGTGTTAGTTTATGCTGTTTTTAGGTTATATTTTTTCAATTCGTTCCACAAATCTTTCGATTAAGGTCCGGACTATTATCAGGCCGTTCCAATAGGCATTCGAATAATATATCCACAATACATAAATCCCACACTGAGCCAAGAGTTATCATATATATGACAGTGGTTTACTGACAATCCATTGTTAATTGTCATTGCAAGAACAGATTAAAATTTTGTTAAAATATGTTAGAAAATCGCGTAAACAAAATTATTAATTTCAACATTTTAAAAGAAAAATCAAACGAATCGCATATTTGGTTAAATGCAAATCCTTGGAACATAAAACGTGTAGCATTTTTGATAATATTTGCAAATAAATACATCTGAGATTAAAGCTAGATATTAATAGTATTTATTAAAGCTGTAAAAATTAGACTTGAGGCTGATAAAAAACTGTTTTACTTTTTCTGGAGCAAAATTATATAACGAATTACCATCATCAATATCTTAAACAACAGTTTGAAAATCAATTTAATTAATGTTTTAAACAACTTTTTATACATTTATTATATTTAAAACGTTTGTGCAGACACACATTCTAAACAAATTTTTTGCAAAGCTGAGGTGTTGCTTTTAAACATTTATTTTAGTTGCAGTAATATAAGTTTTTAGAAAATGAAAATAAATTTTTTTGAAGGTGTAGTTTCATTCCCAATTCAGACTCCTGTTTCATCTACAGATGTACTGATGTAAATTTAGCTTTCCATTGTTGAGATTTCTTATATTTTGAAAAAAGTACTGTATTATAAATTTAAAGACTTATTGTTTGAATGGATTGACTCTAAACCAATTACAATTTATTATTATTATAGTTGTTAATTTCTTCCCAAAGTTGACAACAATTATTAGGATGAAGTTGAAAAATTGCTAAGTACAGGTACATGGTAGTTTTATTAACATAAGCATGCTATTAGCTCAGCTAGGCCTTTTACGTAGTGCTTCTTTATAAAAAATTCCATGAAAGCTTTGAATTTATAAAGACACTAAGATGTTTGATAGTGTTGATTGGATATAGATGCCTATTATTATTTTTCAAATTTTATATAAATGTTGTGTAACCTATTTTGGCTTGGATATAAAAAATATAGTAGTTTAGTTTTTTACATGTTTTTACAAGAAGAATTAGGTTTGCATTTACCCAGTGAATTAAATTTTTTGGATCTAAGTTTATATACTTTTACATAAAGAATAATAAAATACATTAATATGCAAGATACTTGTATCATTAAAAAATACATAACTGATTAAAAGTGAGCAAATTTATTTAGATAATTAACATATAAAAAAAAACAAAAACAAAAAGCCAAAGAAAACCTAGAACAAGAAACTTAAAAAACCAAGAAAAAACTGTAAATAATACCATAAGCTATGAGTTTATGATTTAATTTACATTAATACTTAGAAATTTGCTTCCAGTTTGAGTGATAAAATTAAAACCAAGCAACTCTATTCATAATCTTACGGCAATAACACTTCAAAAAATCCTCATGATTCTCACCGTATAACCCATGAAAGCACTAAATATCATTATTATAATCAAAATATATTTTTAATTTAATGTGCAAATGTATTTTTTTTTGTTTTTTTTTTTTGTTTGTTTTTTTTGTTGTTCTTATTACAATTTTATTTGGTATAATATCGTTTTACATAAAATAAAAAGAACACGGAAACTCGTAGAGGATGGCAAGATCCTGTCACCGAGAACCGTTTAACAATGCAATACAAAATTAAAAAAAACAAAATACCGATATTTACAATACAAGATTTTTAATAAGCCAAAACCAAACATAAAATACCGTTAAAAAATGTCAAAATATGTAATAAAACTAAATATTTAAATAAAATATTCAAAAAAACTCGAAGATGTTATCAATTGCCTAGATAACTTTTTTCAGTTTATTTTTGAAAGTAAGAAAACTACAATTTTTAGAAAAATCAAAGTTTTTTAACACTATTTGGTTCCACAGAAAAGCTCCGCGATATGATATAAGAGATCTTTCAAAATTTGTGTGCGAATAATGTTGATGAATAAGATTGTTATTTCTTAATTCATATTTGTTTCTTGGCTTTATTGCATATAAATTTTGAAAAAATTTTGGGGTTAAGTTTATCTTACATTTGTACATAAAGCAAAGAGCATTAAAAACATTTAGTTGATATATATTAAGAATATTCATGTCTATTAAAAGAGGTTTTGCATGAGTATAACAATCTTTAAAATTTATTAGACGTGCTAGATGCTTCTGTTGCCGATAAAGAGGTTCTAATTGACTATTATTAGCACTACCCCACGCAATGTTAGCATAGTTTACATGACATTGGATTAGCGAGTAATAAAGTTGAATTAATGCATGTCTATTTACAAAATTTCTCGCTTTATACAACACTCCAATATTTTTTGAGACTTTATTGCATAATGTTTCGATATGATTTTTCCATGTTAAGTTTTCATCAATGAAAACACCAAGGATCTGGCTTTAAAAAACACCAGATGGCAACCCTGCATGAAATAATCAACGCTTGCAACTCTATTTCACGTAGCATCATCGAAAGTTAACAACTGGCACTACCCACATTGCCCAACGGGTGCAAGTAGTTGGTGTAAATTAAACAGCGACAAAGTAAATAGGACCAGTTCCTACAAGCCAGGTCCTGGACTTCCCTTAGATGTTGTATATAAGATCAAACCTGTGTTTGAGGACCTTACTAAAGAAGACAAGCTTCTAAAATGTCTTCATGGCAAAACACAAAATGTGAACGAATCTTTTAATGGAAAAATTTGGAATCATATACCGAAGACAAAATTTGTCTCCTTGACAGTGCTCAAGTTTGGTGTCTGCGACACTGTAGCAAATTTTAATATTGGAATGAAGTCGTCAATACTAATTTACGAAAAACTTAACATGATTCCAGGTTATTTTATAAAAAACGTTTCGAACGCTATAAACAAAGTTCGCATTAAATGGTCGATCTATCAAGAAAGGACACATAACAAATTGCGTCGTCAAAAGTTAAGGGCTAAAAAAATTAAGAAAAATGAAAAAACCATAGAAAAAGAAGGCAAAACATATAAAACAGGAGGTTTCTAATTTCAATTAAAGTCTTGTATGTTATTTTTGGCATGTTTGTAGATTATTATCATTTTTTTACTTTTTGCGCGTTTTTTAAGTTCAAGGTTTTTCAATATGCCGGCCGCAATTACAAGAGATCCACTTGGGCTTTTTGTCTGAAATTTTCAGCACATCTTCATTTCAATAAGAGCTGTGTTTAAAGTGGAACAGAATTTTAATAAATTAAGTAAAAAACCAGAATGGTTAATTTATATTTTAATAAAATGATCTTTTTTCTGATATTAACTTTGGTGGAGAGGTCTTCAGACCAAAAACTTTTTTTAAAAAATCTGTTCAATTTAAAACACTCATGCGCTGCGCCTATTCTAAATGTGTTACCAAAGTTTCGCTTTGCCTTTTTTTAATAGTTTTTGCTAAATCTTGGCCGGCGCAAATCCGATTTTGCTTATTTTTAGGGTTTTTTAGGGTATGTGCAATACCCGTTGACCGACTTTTTTTTTTTTTATTTGTAAAATTTCTGTTTTTATTAGAATGTTTGTTAGATTATTTCAAAAGTTTATTTCTATTGTCTGTATTTAATAATGGGGGTGATATCCCTTAAGTTTTTACTTGTATTATTTTTATGAAACAACCAAAAGTAGATGTTTTCCGAGCTTGTCTTTTGAGTTTGTGCATAACATATTTCTTTTACTTCTCTCAACTACGATGTAAAACATTTACAAATTACAATAATATCATTTTTAGATTAACAACTTTTATTGAGTATTATTTTGTAGAGTGTTTTATTTGTAAAGATTGTACACAAAGACGATTTTAGGGAAGGGTGTGTGGGGGAGAGGCGTGTTCCACCCCTACAAATAAAGTGATTTTCAAGTTACAGTCGGTTTTTGACGAATTTAATCGGCTAGTCGGGTATTTGACACAATTTAGTCAGGTAATTTTTAGCTTTAAGGACCTTTTTTTATTATTTTTAAGAAACCAGTTTGTCCTTTTTACTGATTTACCCCTCCCCATACCTTTTTTAATTTATTGATTTATAGATTCAAAAGTGCCAAAGCAAGGTTGTGGTGACTGAGACTAAGTCTTAAAAGCATTTATTTAAACATAGCGGCGAAATTTATGACCTCAAACTCATTAGTTCTTTATTTTTATTGCTAATTATATTTTTAAATTGTATAAATTTTCTTTACTTTTTTGCTTTACATAAATCAATAACGTCTTTAAATCAAGTGATCTTCACTTAAGTGAGAGATTTTCTAAAATCTCTCGCTTAAGTGAAAAAAATCTGTACTTAAAAAAGACTTTTTTATATACTCTAAAAAATAATACTGCATTAGACTGAAAACCAACGAGTAAATGTAGTAGAGTTTCTATCCAATACTAGTCTTGCAGCGATTCTTCACCATTGTAAAGGACCATTCTCCGTTACATTTTGTATCAAGAGCAGGTTGAAACAACCTTAAAACAGCTACGTCATTAGGGAATGTGGATTCAAGATTTCTTAAATCGAATAATCGAAATTAAATTTAAATGATTTGGTTATCTGGTCCCACCTGTTCCAATTAAAAAAAAAAATCGGAGACAAAACTCTTCGAAAAAATTTACCCTTATTGTTTGGGTAGGTTTTTAAAAACTACTCTAGGGCGTGCAATATGATGCAACAGAATCCATATCTGAAGTACGGACAAAAAACCCAAAACAAGAGAGATGTATAAGCTTACCTAGCCATTTAAGCTTTGCTAAAAGTCACTTTATGATAATATTAAGCCCAAATTTTATTTTTTTTCTCCCAATGAAGTCTCAATATCTTAATTGACGTCAATTTTTCAGGTTTAATTTCACGCTCTTTTTTGTCGACTAATATCATCGCTGCTTTTTTAAACTTGTAAAATATCAATCAAACCTTTTGAAAGAAAATAGACAGAGAATACTATGCAGTTCATTTACCACCATGGTAATTGACTAAATGGACTTCAGTCGCCTGAAGCATTTTGTTTACTTTGTTGAACCTTTCCATAGTTATGCTCCAAATGAATATCATGAAGACCATCTCCAACTGATGTTTTTTTCTTGAAAAGTCTACAAGCTTCTACTAGCCTCGGCTAGTTTTGTTCGGCTTTAGATAGTTCGGCTATTGCGTTTGTCATGATTCACCTCTTTTAAGGCTACCTTCAAATTGTTTTGTTCAATTTAATTTTTTTTGTTTTGCTTTGTTTTTTTAAAAAAATATATATTAAAGATATAAAAAAAAAAAGAGTATATTGTAAATTTTTTTTCATAATTCATTAAGAAACGTTCTTAATTAGCTAAAAATAAGTTAACTTGGTACTCTCTCTTTTATCAAAATCCATAAAAAAATGTTAGCTTTATGTAAAACAATAGCAGAACTAATCTTTACATGTCACATCAATACATTTGACCTTGAAAAATATTAGGTGAATCCTTTCGAAGCTCGTCTTTACGAACAATTTTGTGAAAAAATCAATTAAATAAGTTAAAAAAATAACGATGTCCGTGTACAAGTTAAAAAAATAACGATGTCCGTGTACAAGTTAAAAAAATAACGATGTCCGTGTACAAGTTAAAAAAATAACGATGTCCGTGTACACCAAGATATACTTTAAACGGATAGAAAAACGGGTTGGGTGATCAAATTTAGATTTACCAAAACTTAATAAAAAAAAGTTTAATACAAAACTGCAAATCCGTTATGATAAATGTTACAAAAGATTACGTGTGTCTGGCTATGATTAATATATTAAATAACACTCAAGTTTAGACGATTCTTATATTCTTTTTGCAATCAATCGTTTAATAACTATAAGATCTAAAGTTCCAACTGATATTAATTTTATGTTTTTATGTTTGTATTATGTCATGGCATTCCTGAATCTTTGATTTAGCATAAAATTGCCGTTCTATATAGTTCAATCAATTTATTATTTTAATTTATTGCATTGGTACACTATTTCATGTCTGACATTTCTTATAATGTTTAAAAATTATGTGCTATGTAAAGTAAATAAATTAAAGCTCAATTTTGAAATAAAAAACATTTAACCATTTAACAAAAAAATTTAAACAACTTATTTTATTTAAACTTGAAAAGTTTAAATAATAAAGTGTGAAATAAAGATTCTCATACTTTTTCTATAAGCATTTTTCGATTCAACAATGATTCAAATTTTATGACAAAACTAATCATGTACTCATAATTTAAAGCATAACTATTTTTATTTAGTAGTAAATAAATAATAATATATTTTTCTGTTGAGAGTCAACACCAAATCAACTCTATGACAGGTTTAAAACAGGAAATAATTTTATTAGTCTTTTTTTTTTTTTTCTTTCTGATAGAGTTATTAAAATTAACGTGGTTAATCGTTTTCCATGTGATAGATGTTGTATTTCTGGTATAGATTATGTTGCTCGTCTTTGTATGTTTTCAAGGATGAATATATCTTTCTCCATATGAGATAACCAAACTTGAGTTGCATACTTAAAGTATGATCTGACCTATGAATATATCTTTCTTCATATGAGATAACCAAACTTGAATTGCATACTTAAAGTATGATTTGACATATGAATATATCTTTCTTCATATGAGATAACCAAACTTGAATTGCATACTTAAAGTATGATTTGACATATGAATATATCTTTCTTCATATGAGATAACCAAACTTGAATTGCATACTTAAAGTATGATTTGACATATGAATATATCTTTCTTCATATGAGATAACCAAACTTGAATTGCAAAGTATGATTTATATGTATTAAAGTACGATCTAACATATAATTGTCTGAAAGAAGATTTGGTTTTGTATTTAAATATATTTAGTATTGAATAAAGTGAGTTTTGTGAGAATTAAGCAAGGAGACAAAAAATTGAGTAAAAGTTAGGTGTTTGGTATTACCATTAGATAAAAGACGTATTTTAAATGTTGAAAATATATTATTACGTTTTTTAAATGAGTTTTTAAGTTTTTATGAACTTCAGACTTCTATTTTACTTTATTTTACAATTCAGACTAATAGGACAAATAGGAAAGATGTTTGGAGAAGATGGAGGACGCATCTCGCTCTATGAAAGTAGATGCACTACAGGAATATCTGATAATCTTATGAATTACTTTTGTAATTTTTCATACTAATCTTTCTCATTTTAATAAAAATGTGTTTTAAGAGCTAATTATTTAAGCAACAAACAACATCATTTAAATAACAATCCAAACAAATAACAAACAACATCATTTAAGTAACAATTCAAACAAGCAACAAACAGAATCTTTTACTTAACAAACTAAATAAATTTTTTTTAATTTTAGATGTTGTAAAAAAAATATATAGAAATTAATTAAAAATTATATAAAAAAATAATTAAAAAGCATTTAAAACAGAAATATAAATAGATTGAATACTCAAATAAATATATTTTCTAGCTCAAGATTCTTACAAAAGAAGGAAGTTGTTACTATTGTCAGACTTTAAAATTCAATTTTTTGGGAAAAAGTTATAAAAATATTACCATTGGGTGAAATTTGTAATAAGAATAATGATTCGAGTGAATCTGATTAAACCAAATTGTTTCCTTGGTTACAGGATGTTCAATTACGGCATCAACTATATTCCACATTTGTAAGTCTCCGTTAGGATGCCATTTCCAGTTCATGTTACTTTTAGCCATTATTTCCTCAGCTTCCTAACCATAAAAAACAAAGAAGATGTCACTAAAAGTTCAAAAAAAAACAAGATATTTGTTTTTTCCAAAAAAGTTATATTTTATTTTTATTAACAAAGTGTAGTTTAATTTTTAGTAGTGTCCATCCATTGGAAATTTATTTAAATCAATCGATAGAAAACTTATAGACTATATATAGAGAAACCATTTTTGAATTTGAGTTTTTGGTTCCTCTCTATTTAATCTGGTGGTAAAGTTTAAAATTCAATAGGGTTGTTAAAAATGTATATAGCTAATTTTTATTGCTTCTAATATATAATGTTATATAGCGAATTTCAAGAGATTATATATATATATATATATATATATATATATATATATATATATATATATATATATATATATATATATATATATATATATATATATATATATATATATATATATATATATATATATATATATATATATATATATATATATATATATATATATATATATATATATATATATATATATATATATATAATAGAACTATCATTTTAACAACGTGCACAATAATATTCAAATCTGCCTTAACCCGGTGTAGATTTGAATTCCCATAAAGCAGTTTTGAAACTTCACCGGTAAATAAACATAACTTAGTTTATGGTGGTAGACTACTATAAAAATAAGAAAAATCAATTATTGAAAGTTAGATAGATATAACATTTTTCGTCGATTTAACGTAAAAAATTGACTGGAGCAAACAAAAGACAATGGTCTTATCATCTTGCTCCGTTAATTTCAATTATATTTTACAATTAGTATCAATAAAATATAAAATAAGCACAAATTATTATATATATATATATATATATATATATATATATATATATATAAACTCGTATAAATAAAATAACCAAGTAAGTGTATCTTCATAAATATGAACACAAGTAAATGCATTTATATAAATAAAACCGTAAACATTTTCAGCTCAAGTGTGTATGAAAAAATTTCGAGATAAAAAAGATTTTCGAGATAAAAAATTACAAAAGGTGTAAAAATTTTCAAAATAAAAGATGTTTCAATTATGTTGAGGTCAAGTAACTGTTGTTTAACAACGCATTTAAAATGTTTAAGCAAGTTTACTGTTTTAATATCCTTTGTGAAAAATGAGTTCCACAATCGTAATCCTCTTCTAGATATTGAGAATTTGTATCGTCTCAAAGACATTTTTGATATATAGTAGTTTAGCGTAAAATGTTTTGTTTCGTGTTTGTGATCAATAAGTTGGAAGTGAAAGTTGCCTTATTTTAAACAGTAATAAATCTAATAGATTCATATATCAGGAAAGGGATGATAAATACAATGAGGAAAATGAAGCTATGAAAAATGGGGCTTTCAGTCTGATTTATAACTTTTGATTTCAGTCTTTTCTTATATGTCAATAAGTTTGTATAATCAATATTTTAAATTTTAACTGGATTTTTTTCTGTTTTGTATTTCTAATCTTCTGGAAAAGAATTGTAATTGTCCAATTGACTATAAATTTTGAAAAGACATTTATTATAATGAGCTTTATGTCCTGAGATAAAAAAATTAAAAAAAAATAACTTTTTAAAAAACAAGTTTTTTTTAAAAGAAATCTATTTGGGAAAATGCTGAAGTATATGAGATATTAATCCAAATAAATCTATTTTTCCTTAAAGTAAAATATTTTGATTGGAAAGTTATCAAAAATATCACAGAAGGTTAAAAATCAAAAAGAGTAAAAATTTATGGGTAAATGAAGCTGCTTGACATTTCAGCTATTGATCGAGGTACTTGACATGTTCAATATAGTATTTTAGTTAAAATACTGGAAGAATATGGTATATGTAATGATATAAAAGTTAATGGAATATGCAATGATATTAATGCAGAAAGACTTTCTGGTTCGAATGTCAGGTTTAGATTTATAGCTTTTAGATTTACTTTGTAAAAGTTTAAATTGATAGTGAAAAAGTTTTGGACGTAGAATCAATATGTAGAGTTTAAAAAGCTTGTATTTTAATGGAACCAAAAAAGAAAAGTCAACTTTTATTATTTTTAGTTACATAAATGTGCTGATGACTACAATGGGTCTGCAAGAGGTGTGAAGCTAGTTTATATTAAAAAAATATTTTAATGCTATAAAAACATGATGCAGGCATTGCTATATTTTTTAGGTGATGGGAACTGCTATTTTAATGTTTTTGTTAGTTTTTTGTTTTTTTTATTTTAAGTACCTAAAAAAATCTTAACGTTCAGAGCATTTCTTACAGAGCACTGCGGAAGATTACCGCGCAGTTAACTAGAAAAATCACGTCTCCTTCCTTACCGATTACGCAAAATCTTTCCAGAGCTCGTTTAAAACCCTGGATCTCTTGCTTTAAAAGATATTTAGTACTAAATATCTTTTAAAGTAGCAGCTAAGAGTTGGTGCAAATATAGTTTAAATAAAGCCAATGGCACAAACACTTATAAACCTGGACTAGTTTACTAATACATATTGTTTATAAAATTAACCAATCTTTGAGAAATACACTGCTGACCATTGGTTGGAAACATGTTAACATAGTAAGACAAAGAATTCTAGTTTTAATGGCACAATCTGGGAGATTATACCTAAAACAAAATTTATATCATTCGGTCAATTAGAGTTTGGAGTGTATGATGCAATATTGGTCAAAAAGCCTCAATTTTAGTTTATGAATCTCTGAAATATACTCTTAAATCTCTCAATATACTCTTAAAGTTATTTTCATCAACATTTCTGTACTCTTTTTTTTTCTTTTTTTTTTTTCTTGTCAAGATCCTGTCACCGAGAACCGTTTAACAAATCAATAATAATAAAACAATTATTTCAAAAATATATATAATGAAAAGTAAATTAAGAAAACATACATATAAGATAAGGTATCTTAATTATAAAACACCGTTTAACAAAACAATAAAAAATAAAATAAAATATTTTAAATTACATCTAGATAACACTTATAAAGTAAAAACGAGATCAAAAGAACTCGAATATATTATCTATTGAGAAAATAATTTTTTTCAGTTTATTTTTGGAAGTAGAAAAATTCCAACGTAGGGAAAAATCAAAATTTTTAAAACTACTTCTACTTGGCGCGCGACAGCTGTGCCAAATACAGAAACAGAATATGCAGAGATGATGAATAAAATATGATGCGACAAAAAATTATTTGTGGCAAAAATACAATAATAATATTAATCAAGATAAAATAGAAGAAAAATTGTATAAACCATGAGGTTTCTAGTTTATTATCTTTTTTTAACATTAGTATGTTTTTGCTTCAAACTTAACCTATTTAAAATTTATATGTGGTAATTTTTTTTTCTTTTTGTGTTTTTTCAAAAAAAATTTCATCCGCCGGCTATTAGATCTCAAGAACCAATTTTGATGAAATTTTGAGGAGTTTTTTTTCTTATTATAAACTGTCTTCGAATAGAATTCTTTTTTTTTTTTTAATGTTATGATAGTCATATGAAATAGTTAATCGGGTGATTTTAATATTGTGGTTCTACTAACATTCGTAAAGAAAAAAAAAAAAAAAATCTTGAAATAGTACGCTAAATATTTGAGTGCACAAAGTTTGGAAAGCATAAAGAACTGAATCGCGAATTTGAATAAAAAGCATTTTTTGAATGTAAGCAATGAAATAATTTATCAGAAATAAATTTTATTAATGATGTAGATTGCTAATGATGTACTAAATATTACACTAAAAAAATATTGCCAACTAATTTTTGCGACAAAGTTAAAATGCTTTAATACTTTATGATATCACATTCCAAGCATAAGAAACTATCAAATATATTGAATGTCACAATCAGAACGTTTGAAGTACAAGAATTTGCTCAACAGGATGCTTATAGAAAATGACAGTAATATAAAAATATAAACAGATCGATAAAGCGAGGCAACCTTAAACAAATGCTAAATAACTGATTGTATATATAGAATCCTTAAAAGGCCAGTAGTAAAAGATAACTCCTGATGATCAAAAGTTGATTCCGTAGTAAAAGTATTTAAATTTATGATAATTTATTATATTTAAGTGTTGATAATTTATGATAATTTATTATTTATAAAGCAGAACTTACTATTTACATAGCTCTTCAAATTGAAGAGGTATTGAAATCTCGAATAAAAAAATATTAAACAGGATTGTCCTAATCTTAGACAATAAACAGTGTATAACATTTTAGATAAAAGAAATTACATTAAATTTAAAGTTCAATTACATTGAACTTTAAAGTTAAAAATTTTAGACAAGCCAATACTTAAGTAGTTGAAAACTAATTTTGAAAACTTTAACAGAACATATTTCATTATAAATGAGCAAACATTGCTAGAAGTTCAGAGTTGTAAAATTATCCTAACATAAGCATCAAGAAGCATCGACGCAAGCAGAACTTAAAGTTTAGAAAGTGATTAACTCAGATGAACAAGAAATTGTTTCAGTTAAAGGAAACTTACTTACTAAACCCAGCGTATTCACAAAGATATCCGCAGTCGCAAGGTGCACTTTGATTTATATAGTGACCAAAATAATAAAAAAGACAAAAATAATAAAAAAAAAGCTTTTTAATCCATAATGGAAAGATTTACTCAACACTCCATGATCTTGAAAAAAAAAATTGTTATTCAAACCAAATACAGGTAAATAGGACTGAGTTTTTGCTCTTTAACGAATAAAACTTACATTAAAAACTGTTTTATTTTCTTACACTAAAAACAAACTGTTGATAACCAAACTGGTTAAACAAAAGAGCATAACAAAATTTCCAACTAGTTATGCTTCAGTTCAAAACAGATTTTAAGTTGTTTTGAGTGTTAGAAGAGGTGAGGTTAAGGCCCAAACTTTATAAATCTCTGATAGCCCTTGATTCAAGCAGGAAATACTATTCAGAAGTTTAAGAATAATTTTACTATGCTTGATGGGACGGTAGTGAGTTCTCTAGCAGAAAATAACTCCACCCAATCTAGTTGT